ATATCAATTACAATAGTCACCCCGCAACTTTGCTGCGTGTAGTATGACGTAGTCAGAGATCGCGGCTCAAAACAACAAGTCTTTCGGTCCTTTGAACTCTCGCTGTCACGGAAGTCTCTCCCCCCCCCCCCCCCCAAAACAGCCCCCCCGCCACCCCCCCCTTTTTTCCCCCCCCCCACACCCTCTGGGCACGGAAAGGGCGCGGTCCTTTACGGCTTCCCGAAGCCGAGTGGTAGCAAAAACAACAAAAAAGCCGATAGCAAACTTTGTACTTTTATTTTGGAAAAATTAACCGGAGACCTAGTTTTGGGCTCGTATTCGGTTATTCGAATAATTTATTCGGTTTCTGCCCAGGCCTATCGCACACCTCTAAAAGTGGCTATTCTCACCCGCCCGGAGGTTCTCGCAAGATCTACTCCTCCCCTCTTCTCTCTCTCTCTCTGTCTCTTTCTGAATACTGTCTATCGGTGTGGACGATCAAATTGACCAAAACAAAATTAGAAAATGATGTTAAAACACAAAAGTAAATTAATTTGGTTGTCTACAAAGATGCTACGGCTATTTAACTTTTCGAATCGAGCCGAACTACGCGGGTCGCCATTTTGTTTTGTTCTCTCTCTCTCACTCTCTCTCTCTCCCCTACCCACAGACAAAATTGTACGCTTTTAGTAGGCTACAAGTACAGTTGTAATGGAACGTTTGTTCACAGCACAGAATTCTACAATTTTTCTGTTATCACAGTGTAGAATTCTGTGGTTTAGGGTAAACGCAAAATTTGTTGACACGCGCACCGGGTGAGAATAGCCACAAGACCCGCCTGCACTATTCTCACCCCGGGTGAGAATAGAGGTGGCCTTCTCCGATCGTTCGGAGAAATAGTCACTTCGATAATGAAATACTCTCTGCTACAACTCTGATTATTTCTAACTTCCTGTGTAAACAAAGACACTTCTTGTGCAAGATCCTAAACTTAAACATAGACGACGCCCACCCAAGTCTTTCCTCCTATTTCACCACCGGTTCTGTCGAGCATGTGAAACTTAAGAGTTGGAGTAGAGAGCATTCCAATACGACGATGATGTCTTGAGGAAGAACAAACAACATTAATTTTGTCATTTTCTAAGGTGAAATTATAGTATTATAGTTTATAGAAAGATCTAATGAAGACTAATCTAGATTAGATCTAGATCTAGATATATAGATATATCTAGATCTAGATAGATAGATCTAGTGGTTCTAGATCTATGATCCATCAATCTAAATCTAGATAATCTAGGCCTACTCCTAGATCTAATCTAGATTCTAGATTTCTACTTGTACTGTGTAACTCTTCTAATCATTTATAAATTATCATATATTATTTAAAGTCATAAAAATTACGAAGTGACTAGATTTCTAATTCTCCAAACGTTCTGCGAAATAGTGCCGATCTTTATTTATTTGCAGTGGCTAAGTTCACGGCGCCGTGAACGTAGTCTGCCGGCTAGGTTCACGACGCCGTGAATGTAGTTGGCAGGCTACGTTCACGGCGCCCTGAATGCAGTTTGCAGGCGCTGTTGAAGCTACGTTCACGGCACTCAAGCTTCGTTTAGACGGAGCGCCCACTGCCGGTTTTAGTCAGTGACTACAGTGACGTATATTAAATATTTTGGCCAGCTTCAAATGTTCCATCCCATGAGATGAAGGAAAACGAAAAAGCCTGGGAACCGACACAGAGAGAAAATGACGGGAATAATTCTTCTTATCATAATAGCAAACACCCTCTCTCTCTCTTTCTGTCTGTCTCTCCCCTTTCTCTTTCCTTCGCTCTTTCTTCCCCCCCCCCCCTCTCTCTCTTTTCTCTGTCTGTCTGTCTGTCTCCCCCCCCTTCTCTCTCCGGGACTCTCCCTCTCTCTTTCTCTCTCTCTCCCTTTCTCTTTCTCTCTCCCCCCCCCACAACCCTCTCTCTCCCCTTCTCCTTCCCCCCCAACCTTCTCTCTCTCTGCCTCTCTCTCTCTCTCTCTCTCTCTCTCTCTCTCTCTCTCTCTCTCTCTCTCTCTCTCTCTCTCTCTGTGTGTGTGTGACTCTGTGTGTGTGTGTGAGTGTGTGTGTGTGTGTGTGTGCGTATTATGTCTTTGGCCCAGAACGAGATATTCATTCTTTCATTCAAACTACATGTATTTGCAAGCGTATTTCATATCATGTATGCATTTTTATACAGTAAAGAGATAAGGAAAGTTGATAGCACGGTTATCTTTTTTTTATTTCTTGCAACTACGAGACTCGTATGTTCAATGCCATCAGAGCTTCCAAAACACCAAACACCAACAACGAAGAGCTGAACAGAAAACTAATGAAGATTGAAAAACAGAGCAGTTGCAAATGATATGCCTCACAAAACCTGGAAGTAACAGTTACTTGTGTTCATAAGTTTTAATTTTGTTTTTGTTCAGGAGCTGTTGGTTTCTTACCGAGCTCGAAACTTCTTTTGCACACAGACCCTGTAAGATTTTGAACATCTGTCAGTGAGGAACAGAGGCCACGAAACTGCCATTGGGTGGCCTGGGGTGGAATGAACAAAGCCGCTCTCGTGAGAATCACCGGGTGCCTTGGTTTAGTGGACAACATCACGCAAGTGCTGGAACGTCATGTGTTACCCTTGTTTTCGTCAAGGTGTTATTTAAGTAGTCATCCCCATGCGAAACACGGCATTTTCTCATAGGGCCAATGCCATTACAGAACTCTTTAAAAAAACAAATCAAGTCAACGTTCGAATAGTTAGCAGCAAACAGCCCCGATATGAATCCTACAGGTATGTGAAGTCCCATGAAACTGCAACTGAAGAAAAACGACTTTGCCCCCAATTCAGACCCTTTGTTTGCAACTCTCTGTGACATTTGAAATGAAATGACTGATAAAGTTGTCCAAAACTAAATTGAATTGATGCCCAAAGGTTTCGTGCACGACACAAAGCCAATGGTTCCTAAGCAAAATTACAATGAACACAATTAGTGTGAAGTTTTGTGTGGTATCTGTGATTGCTCTGTTTTTCCGTTATGTTTGAAACTATCGTGACAAAATATCGTAATAAAATATTGTTTATTGCAAAGACACAATTCTCCATTCATTGGGCATTCAATATATCGCCATTCGATCAATATTTACTCTTCAATAAATGCGCAAAAGACAATTTTACATTTCTTTGATTTAGCAAAATTTTGCCAAACCTTATTTTTTTAAGGTCAATTTTGAGTGACAATATCTCGGGCGTCTCTTAAAATAGATTAAATATTAATATATGTCAGATGATGAAGAATTTATTTAGCTTTAAATTGGTATGCTGCATGAGTGGGTAATGCAAGGTTTTAACACGATGACTGGGTGATTACATTTTCAAGTTTCTTTTGGACGCCACGGTATAACTGACTACGTTTACAGTAAGTTTTGCACGTCCAAACTTTCAGGAGTTTTCTCTCAAATTGGGCTCTTTCAGAGGGGAGGGAGTGGGGGGGGG